TTTTCTTTCTTTCTTTCTTTCTTTCTTTTCTCTTCTTTCTTACTTACTTACGCCGCGTAATAATTGAAAATTTTCATTAAAAAAAAAAATTTTTCTTTTATGTTGTCACTATTATTATTATTACTATTATTATTATTATTATTTCGCCTTTTTATTATTTAAATATTTTAATAAAAAATGAATGACGTTTACCTTTTATATAGGGGTAATGTTTTCCCTCCACTCCCTCTCCTTCGTGAGTTTTCAAAAAAATAAAAAAAATTAATAATAATAATGATGATTAAATTCGTATTATTATTACGTATTTAAAACTTTTTTTTTATTAATTTAATTTCCGGTTTAAAATGAATTTCCGGTCAACGGAAAAAAAAAAAAAATTCGTCAGTAAACATTTTTCTTTGTTTCATCTTCCTCCTTATATTTAATTATTATTATTATTATTTAAATAAACCTTTAATAATTTCTAAGACATCAATCTCATTTAATAACTCAAATAATAAATAAAATAATAATAATAATAATAATACTTATTAATTATCGTGACGAGTTTTAATAACCATAAACAAAAAAAAAAAGAAAACTCAAACGCATCTGAGCCTGGTGTCATTAAAAAAAAAAAAATTTTCTTTTTTCCTTTTTCCGGAATTATTTTTAACCATTATCTAGTATCAGTGAGTTTTTAGTTTTAAGTAAAAGGAAACGTGACGTGAAATTAAAAAAAAAATTTTTTCAAATCAAAGGAAAGAAAGAGAAAAAGGAAAAATGGAAAAGTCCAAAACAAAATTAAAAAAAAAAAAACAAAAATTTTTTTTTTCATTTTTATTATTATTTTTTTTGGGAAGGACAAATCATTATTATTATTATTATTATTAGGTTATCATAATTATTATTATCGCTATCGTTACCGTAATAATAATAATACGTAATAAAATTATTTATTTCCCATTATTATTATTATTATTATTATTATTATTTTGCAGTAATCAAAATTTTTTTTTTTTCGCGCTGAACTTTTTATCGAAATTAAAAAAAAAAAAGGAAAAAAGGAAACGGTCAAAGAGTGTGAAAATATTTTTTTTTTCCGTAATGAACGTACCGGAAGTTGTGTACAAACGTTTTTTTTTTCAAGTCATTCGATAAAAGTTTATTTCCGTTTTCATTGAGACATAAAAAGAAAACATAAAAAAAAAAAAAAAATTCTACTTTTCATGCATTTTCCTTCGGGTTTCTATCTCTCTCCCTCTCCCTTCTCCCCTGGTATCTCTCGATAATAATTTCGTCTGCTTCGAAAATTAATTATTTGACATAAGTGAATTAATAATAATAATAATAATAAATTTTTTTAATTTTCTTGTTTTTTTTTTTTTAGCGTGACATCCACACACATTCACAGCGTTTTTCTTTTCCTTATTCTTTTTTCTCTTCCATTATTACATTTCTATCGTCAATACATTTCAACTATTGAAAATTCCCTCAGGTCCTGACTCGAATTCCTACCGGGACGCAAGTCAAGCACGTTCCAGCCTGGGATTTTCATCCGTTGTCAAAATCACCCGCGTACCGGTATCACATTAATATACCCGTTAAACAACGATTCACTCCGTTTACATACGGTATTCAATTTCGTCGTTTTACACTCACGGAGGTTGTTTTTTTTTTTTTCAACAAAAATTATATTTAGCTTATGCGTGACGTATACATCAAAGGCGGTTACACTCTGAGACTGTGCGAACGAATAAGGGCCCCCCTGAGAGGGATGAATTCTACTAACTCTCTCTCTCTCTCTCTCTCTCTCTTTTCTCTTTTCCCCTCTCCTCTTATTTTTCCCATCGTTTCTTTCTCTTTCTCCCCTCTCTTCTCCCGGGGTCCCCCTCTCAAAACTCAAATTGTTGTTTAGTTCGTCTTATTCACCATATCGCTTTTTGCAGTATCTATAAACGCAAATTTCCAGTTATCAGTTTTCTCTTTTATTTATTTATTTATTTTTTTTTATTTGTTTTTATTTTTTCATTATTATTATTATTATTTTTTTTTCCCGGGTTGTCGTTGTCGTCGTTGTCGTCGTCGTCGTCATCGCCGTTCATGTCGTCGTTTAAACTCGATAAATTTTTTTAAAACGTTAAAACAAATTGTTTGTTTTATTTATTTTATTAATTTAAAGTTAATTAATTGAAATAATTAATAAATAAGAGAGCTTTCGAAACGATTTCGTTTTTTTTTTTTTTACGTTCCGTTTTCTCTCTCTCTCTCTCTGTCTCTCTTACGCGAATTGTGTTTTTAAAGTGAATAATAATAATAATTATTATTAACAAAATAGGTTCGTCGGTTGTGTAGTTGTTGTAGAAATACGTGCGTGTGTGTGCGTGTATGTGATTTGTGCACATTATTAACTCGATAAATATTATTATTATTATTATTAAACGATTCGTCGGTTAATTAATAATTAATTTTTAATTAAATAATAATAATAATAATAATAATCGGTGGATTGTTTAAAAAAAAAAAAAACAAATGAATTTTTCGTGAATATTTATTTATTTCATGATAAAAAGAGGGGGGTGGGAAAGAAAAAAATTTTTTTCTTTGAGGGGGTTTTTTTTTTGTTTTCCCCGGTTTTTGAAAAGTGTGTGTAAAAAAACGGCTTCAAAATTTTGTCGTCTTTGACTTTGAGGCCTGGCCCCGCGGGTGCCATGCTAAATAATTTAGCCGTTTCGGCTACTGGAGCCAATATTGGAGGTTAGTTAATATATATATTATTATTATTATTATTTATATAATAACAGTATTATATTATTATTATTATTAAAATATATTAACTTTATTATTATTGTTAATATTTTTGAAATCGATGATGATAAAAGTTTAAAAAAAAAATTAACCGTCGGTAAAAACAATAGATCGTTATCTACTCGTGTTTGTTTTGTGGGGGGTAGACCATAATAATAATAATCGGAAAAGGTTTTTTGCCAACAGCAGAAGATATTCCGACGTTTGCAAAAGAAAAATTTTTTATTTGAATTTGAAATCTATATGACGAATGTGTAAATTCGTGTTGATAAACTTACCTTTGGCCTTAGATGCCAAAAACTTTGACATCACGTCTCGTTTTTCAGGCTACACAAATATGATTTATTATTATTATTATTATTTGCCTTAATTATTATTAGTTCGTCACACACACACACACACTCACACAAAAACATATTTTGTGTTAAAGTTCATTTTTTTTTTTGTTGTTTGACATGCGACGTGTTTAGAAAAAAAAAAAAATTGTAGTTGTTGTTGTTCTTGTTGTTGTTGTAGATTCTTAATCAAAATATTTAATTATAAAATTGATTTGTTTTTTGTGGGAGGAGACAAACCGGAGGGAGGGAGAGGGGGAGAAATATATGATTTTATAAAAAAATAGAAAAAACATTCGAGGGTATGCAAAGGTCATATACATCTGCACAAAACGTCGTTTGTTGTTATTATTATTATTATTATCTTTACATAATTAAAAGAGAAGAAAGAAGAAGGGTTTAAAAATCTAATGTTTGATTACAACATTAGAAAACAAAACAAAGACGGAGTAAAAAAAATTTCGTTTCGAGTAAAGCCGCGCCCAAATTAAGTCCAATTTTGATGAACCTATTCGGAGCAGCCTTGCTAATTCAATCAATTATATGATGCTGTTAGCGTTCGTTACAAAAAACATCTTTTTAGTTGGTTTTCTCATGAGTTTCGCGTCGGTTTATAACAAATAAAAAATAAAAAGCAGACGACAAACTCAAAAAAAAAAAAATTAAAAAAAAGTCGGTGGTATACAAACGAGTGGATTGGTATTGTCGTATAAAAAAAAAAAAAATTTTTTTAATCTTTGATTAAAATTAAAATTTTTTTTTTTTTATGTTACCGAATCGGTTGTACACGGCGGTGTATGTGGCGGTAAGTGGCGGTTGTTTTTTTTTTGGGGGGAGGTTTTCAAAAAAAAAAAAAAGGATAAAACGGTCGATAATGCTGAAAAAATTTTACGGGAGCGTCGTAGTAGACTTTTCCGCCGACGGTTTTTTATTTTTTTCTTATTAAGATGATTTTAATTTCGTCTCGTTTGTTTGTTTGTTTGTTGGTTTTTTAATCGATAACGCGAGTCGGTAAAAACGATTTAATTATTATTATTATTAATATTAAAAAAAATTTTAGAAAACCGTCGCGAGAGTATGTTAAAACTTAACGGGGAAAATTGAAAAATTTTTTTTTATGGAAAAAAAAAAGCCGTCGGACAAAAGTCGTGTGGAGGCGGGAGGTGGCAAAAAAAAAGAAAAGGTAAAAGGATTTGAAAAAAGCCACCTCCTTCCCGCCGAAAAAAAAAAAAAAAAAAACAAAATCATAATGAAAAATGGCGCCTTTTATCCTGACGAAATCATTTTCGTCCGCGCGGGGGGGCCTGAGAGTGGAGTAGGGGTGGGGGAGGTGGAGTGCAAAAGGAAAACACGGCAACCTTCAAAACGTTCGGCTGCTCTCACCTCCGTGCGAGGCTGCTAAATATAAAGTCACGACAGCTACTGTTTAACTATTTAGCATGTCTTGCTTATATTTCAGTTTTTCTATTTGATTCGTCACTGATTTTTACGTACTTGAGTTTTTTTTTTTTTCTTCTTCTTCTTCTTTTTCTTCTTCTTTCTTATTCTTTTCCTTCATGGATGTTTTTCTTTTCTTTTTTTTTCTTATAATCGCGTTTGTTTTCGGAAAAGTTATTTAAAAAAAAAATCATATCAGTTCTTATTCGTTAGCAAGAGGATATCCTAGTAAAAAGTTTATAAATGAGGAGTTTAGAGGGTAATAATAATAATAATAATAATAATAATAATAATAATAATAATAATAATAATAATAATAATAATAATAATAATAATAATAATAATAATAATAATAATTGTACTAACATATATGAATTCGTGTTCGTTTGTGTTACCTAAAAAAAAAAAAAAATTTTTTTTGTGACTGTGTGTGGAATGGAAATGACCTCAAGTGACACGAATAAGTGATAAAGAATTATATGTAAACGTGATTGTGTGACGTCACGCTAATTTTTTAGAACGTAGAAAAAGTCGCAAAGTTAATAAGAAAAACAGTTTCCTTTTTTCCAGGTGCGAAAGATTTGTGCGACGAATTAAAAAGACATCATCATCACGGTCATCACGGAGATATAAAAAACACATCGTCGTCGTTGGATCACGGTGTCGTGAATCCCGGTCACAGGTTGGGTCCGAATATATGCGATCAAAGCAGCACGCTGTCGCAACAGCATTCCGGACAGCAAAGCGGAAACACGTCGGATTCGGATAAGCCGACAAAGCAAAAAAGACACAGAACGAGATTCACACCTGCACAATTAAACGAACTCGAAAGATGTTTTTCGAAAACTCATTACCCGGATATTTTTATGAGGGAAGAAATCGCCATGAGAATCGGACTAACCGAATCGAGGGTACAGGTACGAAATTATAATAATGATAATAAAAAAAGGGGTTTTTATATTTGGTTTTCAAAAGGGAAGGTGGGAGGGATTTCTTTATTTTTTCTTTTATATTTTTAACTCAAAATCCAAAAAAAAAAAAAAAATCAAAAGGAAAGTACGTATGATAATAAAATGTTATCACAATTTCATCTGTCGTCCATTTTTGTTATCAATTTGAGGAGAAAAAAAAAATTTTGTTTTTTCGGTTCGATTTTGTTTTTCCCCCTTAATGGACGTTTTCTGATTGAAAAAGTAATAATAACACACAAAAAAAATTGTGTAAAAAAACAAACGGTTGTTGTTTTTGTTGTTGTTGTCGTTGTAGGTTGTTGTTGTTTTTTTTGAAGTTAATAAAAAAAAAAAATACATAAATTATTTATTCGTACGAGGAAATAAATGACGGGATTGCATTCGTTTTAATAACTTTTTTGTGTTTATTAAATAAATAAAAATTTTTTTTTACCCGCCCCCTCTAGTTTTTCGTCCCAAAAAAAGGTTGTGGGGACGGTGTGGGGGAAGGGGAGGGGAGAGAGAGGAAAAATAAAGAAAAAATCACACGATGAAATTTTGAAGTGTTTTTTTCGTGGCACAATAATTTTTTTTTTTATTGATGATTGCGATGAAATTTTTCATTCATAAAAAAAAACCTAAAAAAATAGACGGTGGGTTTTAAAATGTTGTTGTTGTGGTTGTTTGTTGTTTGTTGTTGTGCGACCTGTTCAAAAACTGTGAGATTAATTCCGTATAATAATAATAATATGGAATTTTGTTACACATAAACGTTATAAATTCACGGCGGTAAAGGGGAGAGGGGAGGGAAAAAAAATTCTCATACCTGAGTAGGTGGCTGCTTCTGGTAATAATAAAAAGGTAAAGCGGTTGAGTGTGCGTGTGTGCGTGTGCGTGTGTACGCGAGTGTGTGTGTGTGCGAGCACTAAAAGGATTATAAACCGTAAAAGTGGGTGGCCCAGGGTTTATTTTATATCATTTTTATTTATTTATTTTTTTTGTTTCGGAATCATAGGTGAGACATTTTTTTTTTTTTTTTACTATTCGGGGAGGTTGTTTAACAAGTCGTGAATTTTAAATTTACTTTTTTTTTTTTTTTATATGTATATGTCGTAAACCCTTTCCCACCCGCCCCTTCCCCGAACGTGAAAAATACCTTTTTTCGCCTTCGGTAGAGTTCATCTACGAAAACGTTTGCCCTTTTTATAAAAAAAAAAAAAAAAGATACATAAAAATGTGCTACTTCCAACACCACACTGTGAATGCGACGTGGCCTGATGCAACAAGGATACAAAATATTCCTACGTGTGTGAATTTCCTCATTAGCGCAAACAAGGTTGAATGATATTTATCCGAATAGTAGTAGTAGTATAAGTTTAAGATATTGGAGGTCATACGTTTCCTCCCCGAAGACCCGAGAGTAGTAAAACCCTTGAGAGAGAGAGAGAGAGAGGGAGAGTGAATCCGTTCCTTTCTATCTCTTTCACGAAGAACGTGTCAAAAGAAAAGTTTTATAAAACGAACGCACATATATACGTTCGAGGTTTTTCTCCAAGGACCACTTGATTGATTTTAGATGTACGTAACGTTAGGGTTAACTTTAATGTTACGTAGTAAGAGTAAGAGAGTGCGTTCTAATGTAGTCCATATATGATATCTACGATGTGTGCGTGCGTGCGTGGGGTGCAAAAGTACGAATTCCCATGAGGTATAAACACTCACGCACACACTCACGCAAAAGATTTCTCGATTCGTCTCCTTTCGTTCTTAAACTCACAAACTGACATTTTGATTTTAACATTTTAAATTTTACATTTCGTATTATATTCGATCACGGCACGCCATTGTTTTATCTATCTCTGTTTACGACTCGATATGTGTTTGGGTTATAATATTCGATCATCAATGTCAAAATTTCCATGTTTTGTTTGTTATTATCAGTTATCACACACACACACATAAACGGAGTAATTGTAAATAAATTTATTTAATAATCAATTCAATAAATAATAATAATAATAATAAATAATAATATTATTATTTAAAAATTTGGATGACACTCGACGGGTGCATGCATATTATATTATAATATCGTAAGAATGCAATTCGATATACGAGTGTTTGTGTGTGTGTGCGTGCGCGTGTGCACGTGTGTGTAACCGATGGGTATTTTTATTTAATAGTAAGCAATTCGGTCAAGCAACCTTGACAGGTGATAGAATAAAAAAAAAAAAAAACGTGTGTTAAAAAATAAAATACTCTCAGCCTTAGCCTAAAAAATTATCTAACTTTGATTTTTCGTTTATAATTACAACCGTACTATTTGTTGTTGTTGTTGTTTGTATTGTTGTGATTGTTGTTGTTGTTGTTGTTATATTAAAATTATTACGATTGGAAACAAAAAAAAATTTTTTTTTTATTTTTATTATTAATAGAAAATTTTTTTTGTTTTTTTTTATGCTTTTAAGTTTCGATACCCTTTCCCACGCACGCGCGTTAAACACGTGCGTTAAATGCATCGTTAATGATTATGTAGTTTATTATTATTATTATTATTATTACTTGGAAACGGATTTAATGCCACGAAAAAACACAACATAACGAAACACGTTTAGGCCGTTTTCATTTTGAATAAGTTTTTTAAAAAAAAAACTAACTTACATGTATTAATTGAATGAAGAAACACACGTATATACGAAATTTCAATGTAAATACAAACAACAACGTGAGACAAACAAAAAAAAAAAAATTATTTATTTATTATCCATGAATATAATATATTTATATATTTTTTTTTTTTTACATTTTGAAAAAATCAATCAATAAATCAAACAACAAATGACAATGATAATGATGATGATGATGATATTCAATTAATTTATTATTAATTTTATTAAAAAAAAGAAAAAAAGAAAAATAAATATTTTGATTATTTATTTTTTATTATTATTTTTTCGGTTGTTTTGTTTGTTATTGTTATCGTTATTATTATTATTATTTTTATTGTTGTTGTTGTTGTTGTTGTTGAGATCATTAAAACGAGGAATAATCAATTCTCGAAAGAATTGTTTATAAAAAAAAAACAATAAAATAAAAAAATTTAAAGAACGCGTAAAAATTTCAAGGCTTATAATTTACGTTTATTTATTTATTTATTTATTCGTTACGGATTCCCGCCATTTTATTTATTTATTTATTTTAAAAATATTTGTAAAAAAAAAAAAAAGCAAAAGATCAAAAGTTTATATGTGATAATCATAATAATAATTTTTTTTTTTTCCGATTGACGCAAAAGAAATAAAAAAAATTGCATTTTTCGTAATTTTTCTGGAAAATTTTTTTTTTGTTTTTCCGAAGTCGATAAAAAAACGCGGCAGACGAATAAAAATAAACACGCACACTCACGCACGCACGCACACCCACACACATACATAAATAAATAAAATTTAAATAATAGTAATGCTAATAATAATAATAATAATAATAATAAAATATAAAGTTTTTTAATTAATAAGTAAATTAAAGCTTAACCGAAGGATTTGCGGGAGTATAAAAAGAATTTTTCATTTCTCTCAGGGAATCTTTTAATTAATTTTTCTTGTATTATTTTTGAATTCATTTTCTTCTTCTGCCTTTTTTTTCTGCTTTTATTTATATACATTTTTTTTTAATATTATTATTATTATTATTAATAATTATTTTTATTTACCTTAAAAAAAAAAATTCTAAAAAATCTGAAAGGATTCCAAGATTTCTCTCCCCCCTTTCTCCTTCTCTCTCTCTCTCTCTCTCTCTCTCTCTCTCTCTCCCTCTTTTTTGTTATTATTATTATTATTATTACTTTTTTATTATTATTATTTAAATAATATTTAAGATTATCGTGCTGTCATTATCATTATTATCATCATCATCGTCATCGTCGTTGTCGTCAGTCGTTTCCAATTTTCTTTATCGTTTTTTTTTTTAAATTACGAGGAAAAATTTTTATTAAAAAAATTCGGTGGAAAAAGGATTATTTCCAGGGGGTAAGGAGGGAAGGGAGGGAAGGGTGTACGTTTCCTGTCTTCGCGTCGAGAAATTTTAGTCTGGAAACGGGTAGAAAAAAAAAGGCACACGAATGATTAATAAATAAATATCGGATATTTATTAACATTCACCTGGATTTTTTTAAAAATTATTATTATTATTATTATTATTATGTTGTTGTTAGGGATGAAATCACGTTAAAAAAATATTATCAGCTGTTCTCACGAGATTTTTTTTTTAACCATCTGCAATGATGATGCAGCGACTAATAAACAATCATTGTTTTTTTGTCATGAATAATGATAATAATGAGTCGTTTTTTCGAAAAGAGAAAACCTTTTTTTTTTTTTTTTATTAATCGATCACGGGGATGTATCATCAATTCGGGGATCAAATAAAATCAATTTTATTAATATCGTTCGTCAAAAATTAATTGATAGATTATTATTATTATTATTATTTTTAAAATAATATTCGATGAAAGAATAGGAGGGGGGAGAGGGTGGGAAAAAAAATGGTGGCTGGAATAACAACAACAACAACCATATAGCGTCATGACATGTTCTGATGGTTAACGCGTGTAAATATTCGTTTTTTTCGTTTTTATATAATAATAATTTTATTATCATTATCATCATCCTCATCATCATCATTCATCGATATAGTACGTTCGTATTATTAATGCGAATTTCTTGTTTTTCTTTTTTTTTTTTGCTTTTTTTTGTTTTTTTTTTCCCGGTATTGTTGCTGTTGTTGCTGTTGCTGGTGCCGACGGTGTTGCGTTTGTTGGAGGAAAATGTTTGGAAAACAAATGAAAAAAAAAATAAAAAAATTTTCCTCGTGATTATGTCGTTTTTCTTCATGTGAGAAGGAAGGGAGGGGGGAAAAAGTTTTTTTTTTGTTCGTGGCACAAGAAAAAGAAAAAAAATTTTTTTTATATATAAAAGGACTCGCGGGTGGAGCGCTGGAAAATTGTCTCCAATCAGGTTTTAATGCACCCTGAGCATGTCTTCCAAAGCTTTTTTCTTTTTAACTCCCATGAAAAAAACTCCGGTTTTTTTTCTTTTTTCCATTTTATTTTATTTTCATCGACGTGATTTCTTTTCATTCTCTCGTGTTTTTTTTTTCCCAAGATTTTTCCATGAAATCATCGGTTTGAATCCGTAATAATAATAATAATGGCGACGGGAGGGATATTTTCATTGAATCTCTATTTTTTTTTTTACACAGGGTAGGATTATCCTTTTTTTTTTTTTTTTTCGTCGTTCGATTGGATTCCATTTGGTCGCTTATTTTTTATTTTTATTTTTCGGGCTTTGCCCTTTTTTTTTTATTTTATTACTTTTTAAATTTTCAAATATCCCCCGCCTCCCTTCCCCCCCAAAAAAAAAAAAAAAACTTTTTGGAAGAGAGTAAAAAATAATTTTTTCGCATATCCTCTTTTTTTTTCCCAACCTAATTTTAACACGAAAACTCTTCGAATCTCATCTAAGCGAAGCATTAAATAAATAAATAAATAAATTATTATCATTATTATTATTATTATTAATTAGTTTTTGAAAATTTTAATTAATTAAAATTTAATCGTTTCTCTTTGTCCGACACCCGATTCGAATTAATACAATAAATAATTTATTTATTTATTTATTTCTATGGATTTTTGAATATTTATCGATTATTTACACGTTAATAAAATACATTAATAAATAAATTAATAAATAAATAAATAAATAATAATAATAATTATTATTATTTTTATTTAGTATCGGAAATAATGTTGTTAAATAATTAATAAATCTTTTTTTTTTATATTTTTATTTACATTAATTAATTTATTAAATATTCAGTGACGTTAATAGCATTTATTTATTATTTATTTGCATCTTCACGTAATTATTATTATTATTATTATTATTATTATTATTATTATTATTATTATTAATCGGAGGAAATATTAAAAGTTTAGTGTCTCATTAATGAAATTATTTGATGATGAAAACTGCTATCGAACGATAGATGACGCTTTAGTGACGAAGATTTAAAAACGAAAAAAAATGCCGAAACCGAAAATGCGAGTCGGAAAACGTGAGGGAGGATGAGGATGGGAATGGGGAGGTGAAAAGCGGGTAAATTTTTTTATGTATTAAAAATATTATGAAAATAAAATAAAAAAAAAAAAAAAAAAAAAGGCAGAATGAAACGAAAGAATGGAAGGGAAAAAAGGAAGGTAGTAGTATTTGTCCTTTTTGCTTTTTCAGGGCAGTGAATAATGGTCTCCCTAGGGATTTTCATCAACACCACTTCTCCATTCCCCCTACCCAATAATACGTTTTACTCTCCCACCCTTCCCGGGAACTTTAACCAAGTTTACCCGGAAAATATCATACCATTACCACTACCGTACCACCCACCCGTCTTCTAAGAAAAAAAAAAAAAACTTTTTTCTTTTTTTTTAACTTAAAAGCTAAACGAACGTTTTCTTTCTTCGCAAGAGAGAGAGAGAAAGAAGAAAAAAAAAATTTCTTATTTAAAAAAAAAAAAAAAAATTCTTCGGGTTTTGTTTCTCGACTCTAACGAAAAAAGATGGTTTAAGTTTTTTTTTTCCCCCCTCCTCTTTTTTTTTTTTTTTTTTTGTAACAGCTTTAAAAAAGTTTCAAAAATTATTTTTTTTAAAACAAAAAGATTTTTCCCTTCCAGTTTAAAAAAAAAAAAAAAAAAGGAAACTCCGGGAATAAAAAAAAGGAAATTTTTTTTTTTTAAATATATAAATTTTTAAATATATTATACTTTCGTTTTAAAATGGGTAGAAAATAAAAACAAAAACTGTTTTATCATTCCCCACCGTCGTCGCAAAAAAAAACGATAAAACAGTTTTTGTTTTTGGGGATGGGTATTTAAATTTTTCCAATTCGATTCCTTATTACGACTTTCGTGTTCGACTTATGCCAAACGGGTAACGATTCGCGATAATAATAATAATAATAATCGCTACAAAAATTAGTGATGATGATGATGATGATGATGATGATAATGATGATGAATTTCGTAAGTGGTAATGGTTGCTGTGTACGCGCGTCGGAATAATTTTTTTTAATGACGCATTCATGGAGAATTTTAGCTGGAAAAAAAGAAAAAAGGAAAAAATAACAAAAAGATCTTTCATGTAACATTATAAATTTTTTTTTTTTTTTTTTTTTACCATTTGGAACAAACGAATCTAAAGTAGATAGATATTTGTTCAGAAATGAAAAAAAAAAAAAAAAAGGGAAAAACAAAATTTTTTTTTAACATTTCGTTTGTTTTTTGTTTGTTTTTATTATTTACTTACTCACACATATCTTGGTTAACTTTGTACACGTTTTTTTTTTTTTTTTTTTTTTTTTTTTTCGATTTCATGATGAATTTACCGGTAAAAAAAAAAAAAAAAATTTTTTTTTTAAGGCGTTTTGTTTAAACTACCTTGTTTATAAGAGTTCTTTGTTTTTTAATAAGAGTGTTAATGGAGGATTTAGGTTTCGGTTGAAATTTTTTTTTTTTTAAAATGTTTCTACCGAAATTTTTTCTTTTTTTACCTTAACGAAATGTTATCCTTTTCGGATGAAATGAACAAAAAATAATAATTATTATTATTGTTTTTTCTCCTGTTTAATTAATTAATTGATTGTATAGAAATTTATAAATAAAAAGTTTGAGTGTGTGTTTGATGAAAATGTAGAAAATATTGTTAGCGGATATGGTTATTGTTTTGTTGTTGGTCGGTTGTTGTCTTGTCTGCCCATGTTTTTGACGTTTTTTCGAAAATGCAATCAAGTTTTTTTTCCTTTTGAAAGTTTTTAAATAATTTTTTTTACGTTTGCAAAAAAAACCGGAAAAAGAAGAACGAAAACAATCAAGAATTTTCTCTACTTCCGACGGTAAAATTTATAACGAAACAAACTACAAAAAAAAGTGAGGAATCGTTTTTTGGTTTTTTTAACGTTTGTCGTTTGTTTCTAATAATAATAATATTAAATTTTTATTAAAAAATAATTTTTGAACGGGAAAATAAGAAAGTTAAATGGGAGAAAGGAACATGTGTTGAAAACGATGAATCACAGGGGTTGAAAAGCCGCAGAGCCCAAGGGATGAATCTGAGGGTGGTTTCATACGATTTTGAAGCTCTTTAATGTCTAATGCACGGCAACAAATTATTATTGCACACGGAATGACTTATAATAAATACAATTCTGACGGGGCGCTTGGGAAAAACTTACTTTTCAACCTTTCCCTTTCGGTTAGAAAAAAAAAAAAAAAAGGTGTCGGTTTTTTTTTTTTTTAACGGTTCTACCATCATCGGCGCATACGAATACAAAGGGAGAGAGGGAGGGGGAGAATAAGAACGCGCCTAAAAAAAAAAAGAAAAATTTAAAATTAAAACAACAAATTGTTTAAACAAAAAAAAAGAGTTTTTTCGTGTGTGGGGGATCAGAGACCGGAAACAATAATAATAATAATGAAACGGGTGATGGGAAAATTTCATTTAAAACCGGATGTAAAAGGGAAGAAGATCGACGACGACGACGACGACAAAGACACAAAGTCGAACAACAACAAAAAAAAAAGAAGAAAAAGTTTTAAGACACACAGAATTTGGAATTAGTTTTTAGTGAAAAGTTTTATACGTCTCGTCATTGTTTTCCAATTGATTTATTAAACGTCAGGTCGTCTGGAAGAAATCATTATTCTCCAGAAACCCTTCATTCCATTGGGTATTAGCCCATTCTCTCATCATTACTGACTTTTAGTTTATTTATTTTTCCGACGGTCAACATTATTTTCGGTTAAAAAAAGTTAAAATAAAAAAAAATTTTTTTTTTCTTTTTTTCTTTTTACGGTTTTTTCTTTTTTCCCTTCAGGATTTCGTGAATTTATTATTATTATCATTATTATTTTTTTTTGTCGAAAGGTTTGGTTTCAAAATAGAAGAGCCAAATGGAAGAAAAGAAAGAAGACGACGAATGTTTTTCGCACGCCCGGTGCTTTGTTACCTTCCCACGGACTGCCACCTTTTGGTGCCATGAGCGACGGTTTATGTTCAACAGGAATGTTTTCCACACCCGAGACGAGATGGGGTATGACTTCCGGTAAGGTTTTTTTTTTTCTACATCCGGTCAATATGTTGTGCCCGTGTGTGTATGCAAAAGAAATTTGTTTTTTTTTTTTTTTTTAGGTCTCGGACAACTTAGTCAAAGTAGCGTTTCGATGGGAGGTTATAGTCAATCTATAAGCCAACTAAATCAGAGTTCAGCTCTTAGTTCTGGTTTAAATTCAGGGTTGCCAATAGCAACAAGTATGGCTTCCAATGGATCTTCTCTGTATCAAACACATTATGGACTTAATTCTTTAGGTCTTTATATACAAAATAAAAATTTTTCCGACATTTTTAACGTTTACTTTCCATTGAATTTTTTATTTTTATTTTTCTGTTGCAGATTCTGTATTTTGCGGACACGAAGCTGTAAGTCCCGGGGATCCGCTCAACTGACAACACGATGGTAGTACCGGAAACGGAAAAATCATTCAAGAATGATGAGACTTTTTATAAAAAAAAAAAAAAAAATTTAATATTTTCAAAGACTAAAAATTTTTTAGTAATTACGCAAAAAAAATTATGACTAAAATTTTTTTTTGTATTTTATTAAAAGAAATTCAAGAGGACAAGCAGACGAAAATGTTTAGGTGGTTAACAATAAAATCTCAATTTAAATTTTTTTTTGTTTTTAATTACTAAAAATAATAATAATTTGAAATTCGTTAGTCAGACGTTCGGGTTGTTGCTGCCACGTCCTAAATTCGTATACGCTAAAAAAAATTTTTTTTTTTTTCAAATATGACGATCGTTATAACAAACAAACAAAAAAATTTTTTTTTCGTTTCGTTTCGTACGTTTAAGAAAACGCGTAAAAATAAAAAAAACGCGCGTACGATTCATACATTAAAAAAAAATTATGTATATAAATTAATAATTAATGATGCATGTTGTTTAAAAAAAATTATTATTATTATTTTTTTTTGCCGGATATTATTTTTAAAAAATTGTACGCCATTTTATAAAAAACAAAAATGGTTTCCAGAAAGTAATAGTTTCGTTTTGTTTTTACAAAAAATTTATATATATATATGTAAAGACAAACATAATTTCTCTCATTTTGTACATATATATTAATATTAATGATAATGATAATTTTCTTTTATTTTTTAAATCAGTGATTGATTGATTGATTGATTGATTGATCGGTGTTAAAATCGTTCAGTAGAAAACTAATAAATGTTTTTTTTTTATTATTATTATTTTTTTTTTATATATAAATAATTTATATATATATATGTAAATATATATATATATATAAATGTACAATGTAGATGTATAAAAAAAAATGATGCTGATGATGATAATGATGATGATAAAGTTATGATAATGATAATATACGATTTCCAAAAAAATCGTAAAGAAAAAAAAATGATGAAAAAAGAAAAAAATAAAATAAAAATTTTTAAAAAAAATTTATTTATTTATTTATTAATGATTTTTTATTTATTTTAATAATTATTTCTTATTCGTTTCCGGTTAATCGATTATAAATTAAAAATCCAATTTTATTTATCGGATTTAAATAATTTATCCTTTTTTGAAAAGGGTAAACCTTTCCGAATATTTCTTTCTAGTTCTCCTTCCTCCGGATACACCACGCCAAGCAGTCCAAGGCACAGTCCAAGGATTCACAACCTTGTCGGGCTGACTCTGTTCAACAGTAGAACAAGATTTGCCTTTCGGTTCTGTCTTTATCTTGTTATCATTTTGCTTTATTACAATTATGAATCAGTCATTATATAACTTTTTCCTCAGAACTAATTCAATACTTAATTTTCCTACTATTTCCTCATTTCATAATTTTCGCTCATGCATTTCATCCTTAACTTATGCACAGTATATAAATTAGAATTACAGACGTATAAGTAATCTAAACGCAGTTGATTTTTTTCTAATCTTTTGAAGTAAAAATATCGAAAAATTTGTTCAAAAGTATCAGAAAAACATAAGATCCAAGGAGGTATAAAGTAAAAAAAAATTCAAAATTGGGTCCCCGCAAAAATAAAATGACACACTTAAAATAAAACGTAAACATTGGATTGCCGCTTAAAATCGTAATTTTACATTAAAAATATTCCAAAATTTGTTCAAATATATCAGGCAAACTTAAAAAAATGGAGGTGTAAAAAAAAAAAACACAATTAATGGATTCACACTTAAAATCAGGAGTACAAATAAAAAACCAATTTTATTATAATAATCTAGAATAAATTACAAAACTTTTGATACATACAATTTATAATAAATTGTTAAATAAAACTATTAAAATTAATTTAAATAAGTTGACATGACGTAAACGCATGTTAACTTATTTAATTCTAATTATTGACACACAAAATAATATATTTAATTGCTTTAAAATGCTATAGATTTTATAGATTCTAAAAAAAAAATTATTATTATTATTATTTAACATGCGAAATTTTCGTTTGAAATTTTTTTTTTTTTTAAAATCACAAAATCACGGTCGAATGATTTTTTTCCCGTATTTTTTTTTTTTTTACAAGGATCTAGAAAACTGGAAAGACTTTTTTTTTGTTAACCCGGGAAAAATGCATTTCGCACTAACCTCCCCACTCGGTAGCAGGAAGAGTGTGGGGGGACTCAGCCAAAGCCTCTACCCAACTAAAACTTCTGTATGTGCTTCACTGCGCTTTTTCCTGCTGAGGAGTAGGGGTGGTCGCAGGAGTATGACCTGCAATTTAGCCTCTACCCCCCCCCTCAAAGCCGGAATCATCAGATCCGCACTCGCGAGGATGGGAGCGGATCCCCCACCGTTGCAGAGATCCGCTCCACCTGATTGGGATGCTTTTCTCCCAACGACAATGACAATCTGGAAGACATTCCCGAGGTTTCACTTTCGGTCCTGCCTCCCATAATTACACAAATACATATACATATATAATTTAATACAGTATTCATGTTAGAGTGAAACCTTTACGATTGTCTCTTTCGATCCGGCTTCACTCTTTACAATATTTGCAACCATTTTTCATGGGAAGTTGCCGTAACCCCCCCATTGACCCAACCGCCTCCGTCAGTTTGGCTCTTAGATCTGCCGCTTTAGTTGTTTTGTTTTCTCCCTTAACTTTAATGACACTCCTGCCGCAGATGGCCGAATTCTAATCGAGCTAATGCCTTAGTCCTGTAGTTGGATTTTTTCCCTCGCAGCAGCCAAGACCTCCGCGAAGGACTTTCCACCCTCGGCCCTTTTAAGAACCATCATCGCTGCCGTGGTGGTTTGAACTGCGAGCCATCGTGAGCAGATTTCGCCTTTTTATCCCCCTTTTCAACCACTGTAGGCCCACTATTTGTTTTGCGCATTTTTTACTCCTCTGAGTAACTGTAACGAATCTATCATTAGTCCCTGAAATAATTTTATCTGAATCAGTGGCGCATTCATGTTCCCTGCCACAGAGATCGGCGAGGTCACTACCTCCCGGGTTCCAGTAACCCATCCATTCCCGTGGCAGTCCTGAGCCCTTTTTTTTTGACTCTTTGAGGATTGCAAGTTTGTTAATTATTTAATGGGAGTCGATAAATTAATTGATAAGAAAGATAAATTTAATTTTTTTACGTATGAAAATTAATAATATTAAAACATAAAAAAAAAAAAACGCAAAAAGTTTGATATGTTAAATGTATTAAAAATAAATGAAAAACTTCTGATAGCAAAAAAAAGCTGAAATTTAGTACAAGTCCTGACATCTTTTATAATTTTTAAAAACAAAAAACAAAAGCATTTTGAAAAAGTCTTAACAAGAAAACGTGTTCTTAAAAAGAAAAAAAAGCGTTGGTTTGATGACGACAGCGCTTTTACGGCAAAAAATAAAACTAATAAAGATAAAACAATAATTTAGTTAATAATACAATTAACAGATGTCTCTTGTAACATATAAACTCAGAAAAAAAAGGTAAATTTAATTAAAGGTATAATTTTTTTTTTTTTTTTTTTGGGGGGGGGGGACTTTTTAAATATTTACAATTATTTTCTTAATAAAAAAAAAAATGAAAAGAAAAGGAAAAAGAAAAAAAATTTTTTTTTTTTTTATACGCTTATTTAAAAAAACGTTAATAAAAATTAAGAGGAAGAAAAAAAAGGAAAAAAAAGAAAAAGTTTTGAGAGTGAAAAAAATTAAACTAGAAAATCTCATTTGAATTCAAAATTAGTTTTTTTCTAAACAAGTTTTTTACTTTTTCTTTAAAAAAAAAAAAAAGAAAAAAGTGAACAAACAGCTTAAGAAAACAATTTTTAAAAAAAATTTTCACGGAGATTTTCTTTCATTATAAACCGTCAAACTTACAAAAGAGGAAGAAAAAAAAAAAAAACGAATCAAAAAATTAAAATTAATTAATTACATTTATAAAAAAAATAGAAAGGAATTTTCCAACGACAAAGGAAAAAAAACATCAAAAGGAAATTAAATAAAAGGGAGAAGGAGGGAAGGGGAGAGAGGAGAGGAGAGGAAAAAGAAAAAAAAAGAAACCTCATTATTATCATTATTATTATTCTATGCTTTTATATTAATTATTATTAAAAAGAGAAAAAGATTTAAAAACGATTTTAAAAACAAAAAACAAAACCAGTCGATTTTCTAGAATTTTCTTTTGAAGTATAATAATGACGACGTCGTTTTACAAAAAAAAAAAACATTTTTTTTTTTCCTGAGATGATAACGTATCACCACCATCTTTTTCTTCCTTTGTTGTTTGACTTCTTCTTTAAAAAAAAAAAAAAAAAAAAAAAACAAAATTTCCTGGAGCGATTTCCAGCAGTAGATTTTTTTAAAACTCTGTGACGTAAAATTATTTATTTTTCCTTACATATTTATTTATTTATTTATTTATTTATACATAAACTATATATTTATTATTTAATTTTTTTTTTCATTCTTTCTTTATACATAAAATTATTACAATAAACTTACAATGATAATAATAATAATAATAATAATAAAAAATGTAAAATGCCAAAATGAAAATAAATTTTTTTTTTTTTTTTTTTTTAATGTACAGTTGGTGCTCTGTTGCAAACTATTTTTTTGTGCATTATTTTTTATTTTGTTTTTTTCGGTTTTTATTCTTCGACGTCTATCGTCATCATCATCATCTTCGGATACACCGCCACGACCACCACAACCACCACCACCACCACCATCATCATCATCATCATCACCACTATCACCATCGTCTCCGTTTTCATTATTCATCTAATTGATTATTAACTATTTTTTTGACTTTCGTAATTTTTTTTTTTCCACTTTGAAAACGAAATGCCGTCGTTGTTGTTGTTGTTGCGGTTGTTGTCGTAATGATAATGATAATTAATTTAACAAAAAATAAAAAAAATTTCCTAATTTCATCTGAGACGTTTTATAAAAAAAACAACGAGAGAATAAACGGTGCTGTGTAATGAAATGACGACGTTTGCTGTATTTTTATTACCGTGTTGCATCGCTGCCGGATGTTCACCTTAAAAAAAAATTAAAAAACAATCATTATTATCATCATCATTACCATCATCATCATCATCATTTTAAATAAAGAGAGAGAGAGAGAAAGGAAAAAAACAAACAAAAAAAATCGGTTTAGTTTTTAATTTAAACTTTTTAGTGTTTATACCGCGATTTGAGTTTATTTACTCTATGACTTATGAAAAATTTTCTTAATTCCGCACGGTTATTATTCTTCATGCGTTGTTGTTTTCGTACCGAATAAATTTTAATTTAATGCAAATTACTATTATTATTACGTAAAATATGACGTCACGAAAAGTGAAAAAAAACATTGAAATTGAAAGAATGAAAGGTGGATGTGACGTTTGGTAATGACGATGGGGATGGTGATGGTGGTGACGATAGTGGTGGTGGTGATGGTGGTGGTGGTGACGATTGTGGTGGTAGTGATGATGGTGGTGGTGGTAGTTAAACGTTCTGTCAATATCAATTTCAATAATTGAAAAGTTACGATAAAAAATTTTTCTTTTTTTTTTTTTTTTTTTTTTTTTCAAAGTTGGTACTTTTAACCGAAAAAATTTTTAATATTTCGCATAGATGATGATGATGATGATGAGTTAAATTTAATTCTTATTATTGAACTTTATAAAAAAAAAAAAGGAAAAAACTTTAATGATAATAATAATTATGATTGATTTTATTATTTTTCTTTCGAAATTTTTTTTTTTTTTTTTAAATTTAAACCGAATTAATTTGCCGCGTTTTTTTTTTTTTTTACAACAAATCCGTCGATTTTTTGGTTTTTTAAAATCCCTTCGAGTGTTTTGCACTGCAACCTTTTTTGTTTTGAAATATTTTAAATAATTTTTAGGTTCTTTTTAAAACCCTCGAGTTATTATTCGACTTTTCCATTTTCCCTTTTAAAATTTTTTAGTTTTTCATCGTCGTCGGTAAATTGTAAGACAGCAGACGAAAATTTTTATTTTTTATATTTACCTGAGAAAGACGTTATCGAAAAAAAAGAAAATTTTTTTTTTTTTTTTAAACGACGGAAAACAAAAAAAAAAAAATTTGAAAAAAGAAAAACCCGTGAAAAACTCGAAAAAACGATTTTAAATTTATTTAATTATTCGTACAAATCACTTTTGCGGTGTTGCCCTATTTCTATTTTCTTACTCCCTTACCTGCCCTCTAGCAAGGAGGAAAAAAAGAATCTTAAAACCCTTCGTACCCCCCCCCTTAAATGATGATCTTGAAACGTTTTCCCGTTTTTTTTGCTTTCTCACGCGAAAAATGATCGTGAACCGGATGCATTTAAATCGCGAAAACCGAAAATTCACGGAAAAGAATTCGAAAAGTAAAATTCAAATGCATAACCCATATGTCCTTTTCCGGTTCCTTGGCGTGATTTGATGGTAAAAGTTTTGTTTAAACAGTGAAAAACCTTTTTCCGGAAGTTTACATATAAAAACCAAATATCGAAACCTCGTCTCATCCGGTTGACCAAAATTTTCTTTTTTTTGTCTCCTCTTCCGTTTTTTAAATTTTAAATTTAAAATTTTTTAAACGAGTTTTTAAAATGGCGAATGAAGTTAACAATCCCTCGGAAAATTTAATACAATTAATTACTCATTAACGTATTTTTGAAAATTGGCAACAATGCAAATTCAAAAAAAAAGAAAATGTCGAAGTGATACACGCCCGTATCGAAGTTACAAAAAAAAATTTTCTTTTTTTTTTGGTTATTGTTGTTGTAAATTAAATAAAAAAATTAAACTTCGCGATGAATAAATGACAGTTATGATAATGATAATGATAATGATGATGATAATGACGAGTGATGAAGGAAACGGAAACTAAAAAAAAAAAAATAAATAAAGAAAAAAAAAAAGAAGGAAAGAAATCGGTAAAAACTGGTGGAAATTTTTCTTTTATTTTTTTTGTTTGTTTGTCGTATACGAAACGTTTGTCGTTTTCGTCGTTGTCACTTGGTTTATTTCTATTTTATCTCGTAGATTTTTTTTTTCTTTTTCATCGTATCCCGCAGAACAAGTACATTACTCATTGTCATTGCAAAAAAAAAAAAAGAAAAATTATTCAGATAAAATTTTTAAAAACTTGGTTTTTATTTACAAAAAAGGAAAAAAAAGGAAAGAAAAAAAAGGAAAAAAAAGGAAGGAAAGGAATGGCGTTGGGATTTTTTTTTTTTTTGTTTGTTGTGAATTCATTAAAGTTAACAATCGGTTATGTTGACACCTTGAGGTGGTCACATAATAATAATAAATAAACGTATCGCACATCGTAATTCAAATCCTTTTTTTTTGTTCCTTTCCTTTCCTTTTTTTTCCTTTGAAATTTGCCTTTTCCGTTTCCTTTCACGTTAAATTTTAATTTAAAAAAAAAAACAAAAAAAGAAGGAAAGGGGAAAAGGGGGAGGGGATAAACAAAACAAAAAAAAATTTTTTTTTATTACGATTACCATTTTCCTTTTATTTTATTTTTTAAAATTTATTTATTTATTTGTTTGTTTATAAAGTTTGAAAAATTAAAATATTTTTATACGACCTTGAAAATATATAATAATAATAATAATAATAATAATAATAATAATAATAATAATAAACCAAATAAACAAAACCCCAAATAATAGAATTTAATAAATTTAAAAACTTAACAAAAAGAATTTTCGTTATAGAAAATTAACTTTAAATTTTATATATGTATGTATGTATATAAGAGTCGACGAGATTCGAAATGAAAAAGGAAAAGGAAAATGCTGAAAAAGTTATAAATGGTAAGAGAGAGAGAGAGAGAGAGGGGGAGAGAGAAACCGAGAGAAAAAGGAAAGAAAATGTAAAAAAAAATAAATATAAAAATAAATAAAGATGGATAATATTAAGAAAATTGCTAACTCGTGAGAGAGAGAGAGAGAGAGAGAGAGAGAGAGAGAGAGAGAGATGGAAGAGCAGGAGTGGTGGTGGGGGGAGCGGTGAAAAGAGAGAAAGAAAGAAAGAAATAAATAGGGAAAAAATAAAAGGAAGGAATTCCTTTCATCTGTTTCCATTGTGGTTTTTGCCTCCGGAATCCAGTGAAGCGGAAGAAGAAGAAGAAGAAAATTAAATCCGTATTATTTGGTACAAGGTACAAAAAAAAGAAAATTTTATTATTATTATTATTTGTCATTGTTTTTGAATTTTCTTAACGATTTAAAAATATAGTTTAGTTTTTTTTCCTTAATGAATATATATATTCATTTGATAAACAATGAAATAAAAAAGAAAAAGGAAGGTAGACGGGAAGAAAATGAGATAAAAGATTATCTTATACGAAAAAACTAGAATAAAATAAAAGAAAATGGTCGTCGTTAAAAACAATAAATAAAAACTTGGTATAAAATACAAAACTTTTCATAAATGCTAGTATGGAAAAAGTTTTTTTTTGAAAAAAAAATAATAATAATAAAAACTTTTTCCCACGAATCAAAAAAAAAAAAAAAGTTTTCCTAACTTATACACAGTCTCTCAGACTATTAAGTGGGGGCGTGTGCGCGTGCGCGTTTGTTATGAATAATAAGAAAAAAAACCGTTTTTATTAATTAATATTCTTACAAAATTGTTAATGAAACATTTTTAAATCGATTTTCATAAAACTATCAAGAGGGTGTAGTTAAGAAGAAAAAAAAATCGATGGAAAATTTATTAAAAAAAGAAAATGACGTCAAACAAACAAACAAACAAAAAAAAAATTTTTTTTATGAATTACGAGGTGAGATAAAAAAAAAAAATCCGATTCGAAATCTCAAATTCTAAAGGAAATAATTAAATTGTCGTCGGGGTAATAGAAAAAAAAAAAAAAAAAAAAAAGAAAATTTATTGAAAATGATAAAAAGAAAACGTCAATTCAAAAGAGAGAGAATAAAAACCACTCGAAAATTTTTTTCATAAAAAAAAAAAAAAAAACGAACCCGATAAAACACGAAAAGTAAATTAAGAGTGAGAAAAAACGAAAAAAAGTCAAAAGAAAAACGAAAAAAAATAAAAAATAAAACCGTCGACAGGAATTGAATAAAATGTGCTGACGTGACAGCAAAAAAGGAAAAAAAAAGTAGAGGCCGAAGAAAAAAAAAAAAGTAAATAAAAATGATAACACGTACCGCTTATCACGTGTACGTTAACACTAGCAGCTTCTGCTATTGTTGGCGTACACGTGTAATTACCAGAATCAGAAAGTTTTGCGTTGCTTATCCGAAGGTATGACGTCAAAACATCCGTCCATTCGGTATCAATGGTAACTCTCGCAACGGGTTCATAATCGTTCGGATGTGAACTTTGAACCTGTAAAAATTTCATTCCTTACATAAACAATCAAATCAACAACAACAATCAAAAAAAATTAATAAACAAACAATAAAACAAACCCTTAAAATATTTTTATCTTTATACCAAAAAACTGTTCCTAAATCGTGTGGACCTTGACTTATGCTACAAGATATACTAACGGAACTTCCGGTTTTAACGTATAAATCCGTTGGCCCTTTGATTTTAGCTTTAGCTTTTGCAACAAAAAAAAAAATAATAATGATAATTTTAAAATGATTTAGAAGAAAAAGAAGAAGAAAAAAAAAGAAAATTTTCAACGACGCTTTGGATAATTAAAATAAAAAAAAAAAAAACAGGTTGGCCAACCTTTTTTTTTTATTCGTTTTGTAGAATTTTTTTTTTTTTTATATATAAAACTTTTACGTAAACGAACCTTTTTTTTTTTTTTTTAAATTCATACGTCAAAGTTTTAAATTTTTCCCCCGGGAAAAATAATTCAAATTATTGTTTAAAAAAAAAAAAAATTTTTTTTGGGTCGTCATCACATTAAAAAAAAAAAAATTTTTTTTTTTTTTTTTTTTGTATAATTAAAACCTTCATTCAAAAGTTTTTGTAGTTGTAGAGAAAATTAATATTTTTGTAAATTAACTAAAAGCTTTACTTTCGAGAGAACGGAACGGAACAAAAAAAAAAAAAAGGGAAAAAATTTTTTTTTTTTAATATGAAAAATGTGTTTTTTCACACGCGCCCCACCCCCCAGTCGCCCCCAACGTACGCTTACACCTTCTCTTCCCATTTAAAACTCGTACGTATCCACGTTTGACTTAAACGATGAAAGGAAAAATTTTTTTTTATGTAAACCTTACGCCCCCTCCTCTTTTTTCTCCTTCCTCCTCCTCCCTCCTCCCTCTTTCTTTTTCCCCCTTCGCTCTTTTACCTCTTATTCGAATTTTTTTTGTTTTTTTTTTAAATCATCAACAATAAAAGAAAATCCTCCATTCTTTTTGTTGTTTTTTTTCCAAAAAAAAGAAAAAAAAGGAAAAAAAAAGGAAAAAAGGTAAATACCGTTTCCGGTGGTGGGTGGTAAATCTTTACAATAACATTTCAACTGCCACCATATATATATATTTATCATTCGTGTGTTACGAGAGTCATATTCTAAAGAAATTCCTTTTTTTTTTCTTTCCTTTTTTTTCCTTTTTTTCCTTTTTTTGTAGTGATTCAACTTTGGAAGAGAAATCTCGAGAGAACGACATTTTCAAGTTTTACCAATGAAAAAAAACCATAAATTATCCTTCCTTTGAAAAAGGTAAAAACGACACAAAAAAAAAGATTTAACTTACGTTATTCGTTAACTTATAACCTTTAAAAAAAAAAAAAAATTTTTTTTTTGCTATTATTAATACGTCAATTTCATTACATAAATACGACATAATTTACAATCGAATACGTAAAAAAAAAAAACCGTTATTATAACCCTTTTCCCCCTCTCTCTCCCTCTTCCCCACCATCTTTATTTATTTATATAAAGTTTGAATTAGATAAATGACGTCATCAAATCAATCGTAAAAAATTAATGTGAGTGAGTTAGTGAGTTTACAAAATTTTATATAGAAAAAATTCTTTCAACAAAAATTTTTATATATGGAAAAAAACTTTAACGACAGCAAATAGATTTTGCCAAGTCGTTGTTTCATAGCGGTTTTCAATAATAGCAAAAAAAATAAAAAATAAAAACAAAGTTTTTTTTTGTTAAAAAATAGTTCAACACATTTGGCACTGACCAAATAAAATTTTTTTTTTGTGTTTGTTGCAAAATGATAACAACAAACAAACAAAAGAAAAACTTTTTTTTACATTTAGTTTAAAATTTGTTTTCTTTTTTTATTTATTTATTTATATATATATATTTTTTCAAAAGGAAAATATAAAAAAAAAAAATGGCGTTCATTAGGTCTTGGACGAAGTAAAAAAAAAAAAAAAAAAAAAACTTTTTTTCGATACAATTTCGGTCGGAAAATTGTCGTTTTTCAAATTCTTAAAAAAAATTTTTATCGTTTATTAAAAAAATTTTTTTTTTTTTTTTATTGATAAATTTGGCAACGTTGATTATATATATTAAAATAATTTACCGGAAATAAAACAAAATTATGGATGACGTAAAATTGTAATTAAAAGTAAATAACCCCCCAAAAAAAAATAAAAAGTTTTTTAATCGGCGGGAGAGAGGGGACGGGGGAAATGAATGTCAGATAAAGATAGAAAATTTTTTTTTAAACTCCCCGAGAAAGCGAATAATGAGGAAGAATGGGGAGAGGGGATGAGAGGAAAAATCCAGAATTTAAAAAAAAAAAAAGTGAAAATTTGGAAATTTATTAAAAAGCGTATCGAGTGAAAAACATGTACGAAACCGACTGAAAAAATGGCGGATATTGAAATTTTGATCGGGAGTGAAAACAGGATAAAAAGTTAAACGAAAAGATATAAAAAAACCGGATGGATGGGAAGAAAGGAAGAAAAAAAAAAAAGAAAAGAGAAAAAAAGGAAAAAAATTCACGAGTACTTGTCAGAAATTATTAAAACTAATAATAATAATATTAACAATGATAATGATAATGATAATGACGATAAGGTTTAAGGTGGCGGAAGCGGTTAAAATTTTTTTTTTTGTTTTAATATCGTCGTCGTCGTCGTCGTTGTTTCCGGTTTTCTTATTATTAATTTCTCAACTATTTCCGACGTTGAAAATATTTATTTTTAAATTTTTTTTAATTTAAAAAACAAACGGGAGGGGAGGGAAATTGAAAAAAAAGAAGGAGGGGAAGGAGGTAACAAAAAACAAAAGAGGAAGGGGAAAAAGGCGGAGCAAAAGAAAATAGGGGAAAGAATAAAATAGGAGAAGAGAAAAACGATTCGAAGCGAAAAAAGAGGGGGAAAAAAGGAAGAAGAGGAAAAAGGAGAAGTGGAAAAAGAGGGAAAATGATCAAAAAGAAGGAAGAGAAAAGTGAGAATGAGAGAGGGGAGAGGGGAGAGGGGAGGGAAAAATTATTATTTTCGTTGAAAAACGAATAAAACATTTGAAATAAAAATAAATCGGTTTTCGTAATTGAGAACGTATAAAAAAAAAAAACAATAATAATAATAATAATGATAATTCGATCAATCATTTATTTCATCGTCGTCTTTAATTAATTTTTCCGTATTTGATATTTAATAGGATTAAGTATTAATAATAATAATAATAATGATAATAAATAAATAAATAAATTAATTAATTGACGAACACGAAATAAAATTTGAAATTTATTACCATTGTTATTATTATTATTATTATCATCATTCTCATCATTGATCGATTCGGCGACAACGTAATTGTTATTACGTAATAAAGCGATATATTTTTCGAACGTTATTATTATCATTATTATCATTAAAATATGCAAATGTTTAAAAAAAAAAAAAAACAGTTGGTGCCAAAATGAATGATGAAATTTAGTTAAATTTTTTTTTAATGTCTTCTACTTTAAAGTAGGAAAGAAAAAATTATTATTATTATCATTATTTTTTTGTTTTCTTCTGCTTTAGTTTTTTTTTTGCATTTTTGTAAAATATATATATATATTTAAATGGAGGAAGATTTTCAATTTTTTTAAATAAAAAAAAATACATAAAAAAAAAATTTAAATAATTTTTAATGTAAAAAAAAAAAAATTTATTCATCATAAAAAAAAAAAAAAACTGGAAACTTTTTTTTTTTTTTTTTTTTTTTCTAAAATTTTCCATTAAATTTCTTTGGGACAAACTTTAAAGTTAAAATTATTTTTTATAAAAAAAAAAAAAAAATTTTAAATTTTAAATTTAAAAAAAAAGAAAGAATAAATTTTCTTTTAAATATGCATTTTATTAAACACACACACACGCACATACGCGCGTGTGCGTTTGTTTGTTTTTATCACAGGTAACGAATTATCATATCCGGTTTAATATTTCCATTACTTCCTGTCTTAAGTATTTAATAAACGAATGTTGTCGCCGCCATTTTTTTTCTTCGTAAATTAATCCTTCGAACGAAAAAACTTTATCATCATCATTATTTTTTTTTTAATAAATACGTTTATAATAAAAAGTTTAAATGTGACGACGACGACTTTTAACATGATGATAATAATAATAAAAACGTATAGTAATAACGGAAACGGAAAATTTAAATTATTACAAAAGGTCACACAAAAAAAAAAAAAACTCTTTCGAAACATTTTAAAAATTAATATCATTTTTTTTTTTTCATTCCATCTGGAACGTGTTTGAAAATCATCGTCGACGCCATTTTTAATTTTTAAGTTTTTTTTTTTTTAAGAGAAATTATTATTATTTAAAAAAAAAAACGATTTAAAAATTAATAAACGTCGCCGTATATAAAAAAAAGGAAAAAAAGGAAAGGAAAACGTTTTGATTTTTTTTCTTTCCTTCCGTATTCCAGCACGTAAATTTATTTATAAAAAAAAAAAAAAAATTCCAGAATAAAAAAAAAAAAACAACAAAAAACAATTTGAATTATTCATGAATCGGTTACGTAATAAACATAAAATTACCTGTCAAAAATCGAAAAACACAATAAAAATCAAATAAAAAAAAAATTCAGGTGAGAAAAAGAGAGAGAGAGAGAGTAGAAAAAGGAAGTTAAAGAGTTCTGGAAAAAAAAAAAATTTTTTTTTTTTTTTAAAAAGGAAATAAAATTAAAATTTTCCTTTTTTTTCTGCCAGTTTTTCTGTTAAAAAAAAAAAAAAAATACGTGAAGAGAAACGACAAGAAATTCTTTTTCAGCGATTTTTTTTTTTTTTTTTTTAAAAAGGAAAAAAGGAAAAGGATGATGATGAATAAGAAGAAGAAGAAGAAATTCGGGTAAATATCGCTGACAGTGTAAGGTTTAAAAGAAATTGATTTGCTCCGCCAAACAGAGAATATTAGATGGTAAATGAAGTTGAAAAAAAAAAACAAATTGAATTCGTTCAAGTTGAGAAAATAAGGAAAGAAGACTTAATTGGACTTGCAAAATAAAAAACTTCTGTGAATAAATTTTCATTCTTTTCCCTCTCCTTCTCTCTCTCTCTCCCCCTCCTCCTTCTTCCTCCCCTTCTTCTTCTTCTTGAATTTTTACTTGTAAATAAAAAACGTGGAATAATAAGAATATCCGTTTCCCACCCCGAGTTCTCATCCTTTTTAAACTCCTGGTCCTGATGCTGCTGATGCTGCTCCTCCCACCCACCCACTCTCTCTCTCTCTCTCATTTATTCATCAATCATTTTAAATATGATAACTAAATGTATTTTTAAAAATAAAATCAAATGAGTGTATTATTCTAGTGACACGAACGTTAAATAAACGTTCACGATGATTAAAACAATTTTTTTTTTTAGGTACGCGCGCGTTTTTTTTTTCTTGTTAAATTATAAAATTATTTTTGAAAAATATAAGTTATGATACTGGAAAAAAATTTTGGAGAACACTGGAGAAATTTTTCCACGAGAGAGAGAGAGAGAGAAACGCGGCGTAATTTTATAAACGAAAAAAAAAATTATTATAATCACGGCGAGTTGTTATTATCTATTTATTACGTACGGATTTTAAAACGTATTTAACTTAAAACCGGAAATAGCTATTACGGCGATTCAAAAACAACCGTTAATAAATTTTTTACCGCCATTTTGTTTTTTTTAAACAACCCAATTGTTTCAAAACATTATATTACTCGCAATCGGTACTCGAAATCAATTTTTTTTTTTCGTCAATGGTGAAACTAAAAAATATTTAACAATGAGTTTTAAACATTTAAAAATTTCTGTTCCTTTCTAGAAAAGTCGACGTCGACGACGACTACAACTACAACTACAACCACGTTTAAAAAGTTTTATACACAAAGTTCAAACAAAAACTTTATTTTAGTTGAAAATTAAAGTTTTAAAATTAATGAGAACTCATTAGATGATTCCTTTTTTTTTCTCTCTCTCTCTCTCTCTCTTGTAGAGAGAAAAATGTTTCATAAGTTTTTGTTATGATTACATAAGAGAAAAGTGAAGGAAGGAATTGGGGTGAAGAGAAAGAGAGAGAGGGGGGAGGATGAAAAGAAAAAAAAAAGATGATAAAAGTTTTCCTGTCCGATTCGTCAAAACAACTGAGAGAGAGAGAAAGAGAAAAAATGTTTTATATTTTTATTATTATTATTATTATCATTATTATCATTAGGTAACATTTTAACCTTGTTATTAACTAATACTATAAAGTAATAAAATTGTAATTTTTGACATTTTTTATTGGATTGAACTTGCAACAAACAAACGAACAAAACAAAACCGAAATTAAAAAAAAAAAAAGACACGAAAACAAAAAAAAAAAAAAATTTAATTAAAAAGTTTATTGAAAGTTTTTCCGCTTCCGGTTAAAAATATATATATATATATTTTACGGTTTCTTATTAAAAAAAAAAATTACGTTCTCTCTTATTATTATATA